TGCCAAGAAGACCTTGAAAAACTAAAGCTTTGGAAAGCACTCATAAAAAGCAATGTGAAGTAATACATTTGAAGGAAAACAGAAATCAGCTTAGGTAACAAGTGACTCAAATATAGAAATTCACTATTTGCCTGAGTAGCTTCTAATGTTAACAAATACAAAATGTCAGAATCTTTTATTTCTTCCATATCCAAGAACTTGGAATTACCGACTAGAGAGATCTAACCCTGAGGTGAGCCGGTGCCTGCTGTCGTCTCTGCACTATTCATCCCCAGATTTTCATGGACAAGGAAGTGAGAAAGCCAGCTGTGTTCCTCAGCACTTAACTGCCACCTTTGGCACAGCAACGATAAGAGGACTAGAGTTCACCTGTTGTTTAGATAGAGGCAGACCTTCATTTTACAAAACTTTATCTGGCATCATTAAAGAAGAAACAAAACATATTACTGATGGACTTATTCAAAACCAGCTTTCTAAAGATGTGAGGTAAAGTTACGTAAGATACAAAAGGTTCTTGTAAAACCATTATTGTATATACAGTATTATAGGGTGACCTCAGTTTCTGTTACTAACAGTCCTAGAAACTGAGTAAAAGACTTGGTAGGATAGTCCTACCCCCAAGAAACTACATCTTAAGCATCAAACACATAATACAGGAGTATATACTTGTATATACTTGCATATCTCAAATTACAATCTAAACATCTATGAAGAAAAACAATTAATACATTTCCTAAGATTTGGAAGAGAATAATCAAAATCCATCTTCCAATAATGTAGTTCCCCACCATACTCTGAAGTAAAGACTAGGATTTCCACTCTCTCTTCCCAATAAATTTTAATTTTACCTTCAAGTAAGTTATTAGAAGGAAAATACTGGCTCGCTGTTAAACAGGAGAGGTGAATTAGTCGCTGAGTCAGGGATACTAGTAGTCAAATAACTTAAAAGGCAGGCCTGATGAAACCCACGCGTAAATGCTACTGAGAACTAGATGAAGAAAGGAGTCTTGTAACATTGTCAAGGACAGCTCCTGATAACGGACAAGAACATGTCTCGAAAAGCAGTTGAAACCAACCCTGCAGTCTGGACAAAGACCAGAGAAGAACTGAGTCTGCGCAAAGACAAAAGGTTACTTGCGGTGATGAAGAGGAATCATCAGCCTTCATCCTCACGACCCTCAACGACCACCACCAGGAGGCACTGTGCAAGCGCAGTAGGGAGGAGTTTATGAAAATGATTTCTTAGAGCTAATTTTAATACGAAGCAGGGACAGGTCATGTATATGTATAGGTGTATTGTGAAATCTCATGATTATGTAAATCAAACAATATATATATTTGAGAAAGCCGCTGCATTAGGCCCACATGATTGTGGTGGGGCGACCCTCCATGCTGCCCAGCGCTGAATGAAACATACCTGCTTTACAACTTTCTAAGTTGTGGAGTCTACTTTCCGCACGTCATCACCAACAACGCTGAGAAGGCAGAGGTTCTCAACACTTTCTCACCTCTGTCTTTACCGGCACTGTTGGGCCCCAGGCCTTGGAAGAGCAATCCAGGTTGATGCAAACACAGACCCACCATCAGTGAAGGAAGAGTTGGTACGTGAACTATTACAGGAGCTTGACCCCTACAAATCGATGGGCCCTGATGTTATCCACCCCAGGGGGTTAAGAGAGCTGGCTGCTGCTGTTGCAAGGCCGCTCTCCATAATCTTTCAGAAGTTGTGGAGATCAGGGGACGTCCCAGAAGACTGGAAGATGTCACCCCCATCTACAAGAAGGGCTTAAAGGAGGATCCAAGAAGTAAGTTATAGACCCATCAGTCTTACTTCAGTCCCAGAGAAAGTTATGCAACAAATCCTCCTGGGGGCTATCACAAGTCAAATGAAGCACGTTATTGGGAAAAGACAGTACAGATTCCCCAAGGGCAAAAATCATGTGTGACAAAATTGGTCACCTTCTATGACAAAGTAACCTGTTCAGTTCATGTGGGGCGAGAAGTGGACATTGCCTACCTGGATTTCTCCAAGGCTTTTGATAACGGTTCTCCACAGCCTCCTCCAAGAGAAATTGACGTGTCACAGTCCATACAAGTAGTCTGTGCAGTGGGTGGGGAACTGGCTGACAGGCTGCACCCAGAGGGTGGTGGTAAATAGCTCCTTCTCAAACCAGCAACCTGTCACAAGTGGGGTCCCCCAGGAATCCATATTGGGCTCAGCGCTGTTTAATATCTTACTAAGTGATCTGGATGGTGGGATCAAGTGCACCCTGAGGAAGCTCGCTGATGATACCAAACTAAGTGGGGAAGCAGACATTTCAGAAGACAGAACCACTGATGTCGAAAGAACAAGGTTAAAAGTTTATCAAGAAGTTTTGGCTGGGACATGGTTAAGACACCAAGGAAAGAACCTAACCTTGAACAGGATTTGAAACAAAACAATGCGTCTTCTGTGTTCTTTTGCAGCTGCTGACTTAGACATAAGATGATAAAATATATAACTTCTAGACTGAAGTTGAGCCACAAGCGTATCCTAAACTAACTCTGAGTAATTATAATGCTAAAATACACACCCCTTCGTGAAAAATGAGCATGCCAATCAGGTAACCTCCCAAATTTTTTAAACATGAGTTTAGATGTGTATGTATAGTTTGGAGTGGTGAATGAATCATTATTAACTAATTAGCTGTATTTTATTGTTATAAATATTAGGCAATTGCGATTGTGCGTGCGCTGGCTGTTGTTAAATGCCTGGCACCCAATTCTGCAGAACTGAAATAAAAGCAAATACCTGACTTGGTTCGTTGATTGGCTTTCACACACCAGGTGAAGAACCCTTATTTAGGGACAACATCACCCTGCGGAAGACCTGGATGGGCTGGAAGAATGGGCTAACAAGAACCTAATGAAGTTCAACAAGGAGAAGTGTAAGGTCTTGCACCTGGGAAAACATAATCCAGGAGTTCAGCACAGGCTGAGATCCACCTGACTGGCACGCAGCTCTGTAGAAAGGGACCTGGGGGTTCTGGTGGACAAGCAGCTCAATATGAATTAACATCATGCTGCTGGGGCAAAGAAAACCAACAGGACGCTGGGCTGCATCAACAAGGGCATCCCCAGCAGAGATAAAGAAGTCATTATCCCACTCTACTCAGCACATGTCAGGCCATACTTGGAATACTGTGTTAAGTTTTGGTCCCCGCTATGCAAAAAAGATGTGGACAGGCTGGAGAGGGTCCAGAGAAGGGCCACAAAGATGATCAAAGGATTGGGAAGACTACCGTATGTGGAAAGGCTGAGAGAATTGGGTTTGTTCAGCCTTTAGTAAAGAAGGCTTAGGGGAGACCTTATCACCATGTTCCAGTACTTAAAGGGTGCTTACAAAGAAGATGGAGACTCCCTTTTTACAAGGAGTTATATGGAAAAGATGAGGGGTAATGGGTACAAGTTAATCCTGGGGAGATTCTGATTGGATACAAGAGGAAAATTTTTCACAGTGAGAACAAGCAGCCATTGGAATAATCTCCCCAAGGAGTGGTGGATTCCCCAACATCGGACACTTTTAAGATTCAGCTGGGCAGGGCGCTGGGCCATCTTGTCTAGACTGTGCCTTTGCCAAAAGAAGTTCGAGCAGATGATCCTTGAGGTCCCCTCCAATCTGGTATTCTATGATTTTATTATTTTAATGGAGTAATTTCAGAGTTCTCTGTGGACTCTTTTGATACCAGCCACACCGGACAAGAAAGATCTGCTCTTTGACTCAAAACTGCAGATTATGCTGTGTTCAACTGAGAGTCACAGATGCGTAACTAAGACTATGAATTGCCCTTGTTAATCCTGAGTAATCTAAAGCTACTAATTTAAAGAATTTTGGTGAAGGAGGTGACTTTAATTGTAAACACTGATTTTATGGCACAGTATGTTCTTTTTCAAAGATCTCAATACAAATCATATACTCTTAAAAAGGATAAAAGTATTGCAGAGTTCAACATACAGGTCTTTAAATCTCTCTCACATGAAGGTGAGTTTGGAAAGTGCTAGCATGATAAAACACAACTACTGTCTTCCCCAGAACAGGCCTAAGCCAGACTCCAGCTGTGTTAGCTGGTTCAGCTCTATGCAACTCTGTTTAATTTGCACGCCTGAAGAATTTATCCAAAATACTTAGATTTTTCTTTGTATCTTGCATGAAAGGATTTAGTTTATGGACATGAAGTGTCTTGCAAGAGTAGTTGTGTCTTAGGGCTTCGCTTATCTATCAGCAACTACTTTATTAGTGACGAAATGGGAAACAAACCCAAACACCAGTATCTCCCTTTAGTACAATTAATTTGATGAAATTTACTGAACATTTATTCAGTGCATGGCAGAAAAAGCTCCTGAACTTAAGAGCATTTCCTGTATGCAAGTATCATAGAACATATAGTGGCAGCAGAGAGAAATACCAGTTTTGAAAGCTATCTGCTATAGAAAACTTAATTCTTTAAAACTACATATAGCAGCATGATACAGTTCTGATGAAAGCAGCAGCAAGTAACGTGATATAAAATATGCATGAGTCTGAACGTGTACTGCTAGACACATGCTCTGTACAGTATGTTTTATGCTTGACAGCGTGGTATGGTACAAGTAGAAAGACCAACAGATGAGACAGAGCTAGACCTCAAGATCAAGTTTGTGGGGTTGTTTTTGACTTTCTCCCTTTCAGTACGAGCAGAAATAAAGTGCTGAAAATGTGCAAAAACCCCAACCAACCAAATGAATACAAGAGGACAAAGAAAAAACATACGTTAAGGACAAGCATAGTTTAAAACATCAAACCTGCTTCCCAACATTTCAGTACTACTAGCTAGTGTGTTAAAGCTAACTATATTAGCTTAGCCAACCAACTTTGTAAAGATGCTGCCACCTGGCATTAAAAACCTCAGTATTTCCTGCCATGGCAGGAAATGGCCTCCCAACATTTATAAATATTGAAGACCCTTTTTTTGCATAATTACCTTGTGAAGTCAGTCATCTCCATCATAATCACACACATCCTCTTGGCCAAAACAATGATGTCATTGCTGGTATCGTCCCATATTTCAATCTCTGCATCAAGCTTACTCTTGACTTTTTTGAAGTCAGCCACTTGCTCAGCTATCTTTTCCTTTTCAGCCTCTGGCAGTTGAGTCATCTTGGCCTGAAACAAAATAATTTGATCTGCAAAATGTCTGTGTCAAAGTGTTTTTCTATTTTTAAACAAAACCACTGGATATTATTAAATATATAGTTTAAACACACTGTGGCCTAAGCCAACTGTTCCAGCCTGAGCACTTCTGAATTTCAAAATCTATATGCTATCACTGGGTTGGGCCAAATAAATTACGTCACTGTAACGGGGACAGTGGTGTCCACGAAACCACTAATATTAACGTAGTGAGAGAAAGACAACTAAATTCTTCCAAAGAGCCTTTATGAAATATGACTGATAGATTTTCTTTTTTCTTAGAGATGAGGGAGCCCAAGTGTTCTGAAGTATGCAAGTTACAAAATGTAACATTCTTTCAGGTAGGAAAGAATAAAGGGAAAGGCTTAATTGTCCTAAAACTTTTAGGTAATGCTTGCCCTCTCTTCTGAGAAGGTTCATTTTAAGAACTGAGAAAGAATTAATTGTTCCAATATGCACCTTCTGTCTTTGAAGAAGATAAATAAATAGATGAACATGTCAGAATCAGCACGTGACTAAAGGTACCGAAAACATATCTTGGATGCCAATAGGAAAATATCTGATATTCAAATCAAGCCACAGCCAAACTGGGCTCAGGCAGGACACAGGAAGGGCCTTGGCTGTGGCTCCCAACTGGACTGTTTACAAACATTCCACCCGCTAAAACTGTTTGAAATAAAGACTTAGTACAGCTAGAAAAGCGGCATGTTTTGTGCAAGTTCAGACTAGGGAATCAGAACATTAAATCTATATCGAATGCATGTATTCTTCCTACACTTCAGCATTAGTGAGGCATTTCATATATAAAGAGCGAAACAACTTCTGAAAATGCAGCATGGCAAGAGAAATATTTTACTTAATGCTCTTCTTCATGAGCAAGGTTAGCAGTCTGCTCCAGACCAGGGTCAGATATACCTTCTGTGTCAGAAACAGGCCAGGTAGCAGACAAGGGCTATTATGGGGCCCTACAGCAGTCCTGGCCTTTGATAATAACTTTGATAAAACCACTGGAAGTGAGGAGACCTTTTGGTCTGTTGGTCTTGATGGCTCTTGATAGATAGTGGGTTTTATCTATCACCTTCTTTGCGAAGTGGCCCACCTCTTGCACCACAGGCCATCAGGAACTCACAGTTACATACAGCCAACTATTAACACACTGTAATTATGCTGCAATTAAACAATAAATATTTTGTGACTTATTCTTGTTTATAAACATCCGCCATCCATAAACCAGAAATTTAAGGCAGTGGCTGAATTACTTATAATTAGCGTAACAGGTAAGCAGTTTAATATGTAATGCATATGTTTATCAAGCCATGCCATTTCAGAGATTTTATTTATGCTTGAACCACTCTGTCACAAGGTTAATTTTCCCATTTATGTGAAATACTGGAAATTACAGGTCTCCCAAAGTATAACTATGTTACAATCGCAGTCACAGAATTAGAAAGTGTACCTATTTTAAGGAGTACTTTTCCTATTTTGTTAAAAAAGAAACCCCACACCTCAAACAGACCAGAGAAGACAAAGACACACTTTCTCATGGTTGCAGCATGAGCTTTCTGGGAAAGGTATGAAACAGATAAAAATAAGAGTTGGGCTACAGAGTCAAGAGAATCAAAGTACCCCTTTTTATAATCTAATACATACTTGCTGATTGGTGGATGCATATGGTATTTCCTAGCCCCCCCTTCAATACCACAGGCCTAGATCTGGAAACCACAAGAAAGATGACATTTTAATGAGGGACGAGTGACATACAGTAGCCTGCTATATGCCAACGATAATGAGTTTCAGGTGGAATGAAACACATTATCCACTGGAACAAAGGGGCAAAGGAAACTACAATTCTGACCTTGAGTCTTCTTTCATTTCCCTCATACTGTTTCAAAACTATATACAGCAACAAAATAAAACAACTGTATACACAGCCTTTTAAGTGCAGATACGATTTTGTATCAAAATAGACGACATAATAGTAAATGTGAAATAAAGATTTAAATTGAATGACTGCTATTACATGAGTGTAGGTTTATTTTGTCCACCAGGAGAAAATGATTTTTTCATTACTTCTAAGACAAAATGGTTTTTATTGCAGTAGATAACAGAGTTAAAACTAGGTGAGAGAAGTTATATTTTTGATATTTTTCTTCCTTCTAGTACAAAAAAAAAAAAAAAAGGTATATATTTTTTTCTTTAAGTTCATTGAATTAACTCTTCAGAAGGCTATTTATCCCTGGTAGCTGGGAGTCTCCAACACTGGCATTATTTGCATTGTCCCATTTGCAACTTGATTTACCATGCAAGATTAGCGTTTCTTTTCATTTCAGCCCCTTCCAAGTTTCAGTCAATTCGCTACCACAGCTACTGAAATTTTAAGGTCAGAACAAACTGTCCACGTAATGATAATAATAGAGGACACACAGGGAGTAACTACTTGGTGAAAATTTTAACTCTTCTCTCACTGGTGTTATTACTCGCCAAGGAGACTCCAACCCAAAGAACTGGCCCTTTGCCTGCCTTTGTCCCTGGCTACACTCTAAGAAACTGACTTTCATATAAATTATGATTCTTCTCTCAACGTCTTAGACTGACACACATTTTTTCTTCCCGGATCCCCTAAACCAAATGACTGGCCAGATCCACACCACAAAAATTGTTAGCACTTACAGGGAGGAAGGAAGGAAAGAAAAGCCTCAAGAAGCACAATACATTCAAGCAATTTTTTGTGTTATCAAAAACTCTTTTTGTCTGAGACAGAGGTGAGCCAGATATCCTTTTAAAAGCCAAGAACCTCCCTTTGTAAATTATTTAACACATCTTGCTTTATAGGTTGCAGTTTGTCACGTAACTAAGAAAATAAAGAGAGGAAAATTGTTTTTCTACAATTTTGTAGGTTACAAAAAAACCACCTCACCCTCCTGATGAAGCCCATGAAAAACTTCTCAAAGCTTTTTAAGAAAAGAATACAAAACGACGTGCTCTTTACATACTGCTGTTCTGAGATAATGACATAGATTCAAAAGACCACATTCATGTCCCTGCTTCACTGCAGTTCAGAGCTACGCTCTTCAGTCCACCACAGACTCAGCATAGACAAGAAGCCATTTCATGTTCTTGCTCCCCTGCTGCAGAATCAGCTGAACATTTGGTGGAAGGGAACAAGATCTCTCCAAATCACTCAAAGGACAGGAATCTATTTCTATCAAACTACTTTAAAACAGTTCCCATTCTGACGTTTTGAAAAAACTTTGTAAATTACTGTCATAAAATATGTGCACATCACCTGAGCATATTTTATTATGAAGCTGAGCAGAGGATAGACACTTATAAAGACTATTATACAGATGTGTTTTGAATACTGAATACGGCACAGAGTTAAGAGTGATTCTGTTAAAATGCGTAAATTGTGTCCACTGCCTTTTACAAAACATCCTACTTTTTCCACTGAGTGAATAATTGTTCAAGTTTGGATAAAGAGGCGAAAGAGAGAATGGTGGATATTCAGCAATTCATGGCAAAGTGAATACACAGGATGTTCCCTAGAGAGGAACTGTGTGGTTGTGTGATACTGACAGCTGGGAGAAGCTGAATTTCTTTTGTCAAGTTTACTGTCTGCTGTCACCAGTTGTCATCTTCCAATTTTAAGAATTGTAGCATGCCTGCTGAAGTCCAGCATTCTTTGAACAAGTTCCGAGACTGTCTCATTTGTGCTGCCATATCAATACCTGTATATTTTTAGATACAATATAATTGGATAAAGAGGTAAAGCTATCAGGAGATAATATCAAAAGAACAAAACTCTTTAATGCTGTTTTTGCATCAGCCTTTGCTAAAAAGGTTGACTTATATGAGTCAATTGTGTCATATTAAATCTAATTTCCCTTTGTCCCAGGGTAAGAGGCCTACAGACGAAGAAGCAACATGTCATGAATCTGGGCTTCACTAGGGTTTTGTCACTGGTTCTCATGTCATCCTATTCATAAATAATCTAGGCAAATATGATCTAGAGGTAATTGCCACTGGGTGGATGTGATACTGGTTAGGAAACTGCTCCCAGGATACGTATCAAGAACACATGCCAAACTAGAGGTATCGATCAGGCAAAATTCTGAAGGGACCTGCCCTGACTCCGGCATTATTCAGAATTTTCACTAATGGGGTGGATGACAGAAACAACAGTACACATCACACGTGCAGTGTAAGAGGCCTGGTTTGACATGTTGGAGTCCTGGCTTACAATTCAAAGCAACCTCAAGGAACTTGAGAACTGATCTGAAAAAATAACAGGATGTATTTCAGCTGAGACGTGTACAAGGTTTTACACCTAGGAAAAATCACCAGTATGCACATGGACTGAGACACAACAGGTTAAAAATGGTTCTGTGGGTGGGGATTTATAGTTGATCAGAAAGTTGTACTCTTGGCAAAAGGGCAAACCTCATACAAAACGCATTCTAAAGTGTGCATACAGAAGAAAATAGTGTAAACATTACACTAGTGCTCATTGTTGAGACAAAAGCTGGCACAATGCATTTAATGCTATGAAAAGCCTGGACACAAAATCGAGGAAGTCATTAACCAGCTGAAGAGCATCCAGAGGAGACAAAAACAGCAAAAAGACAAACAGAAACCACTACCTTAAAGGATAAATAAAGGGTATTGGAGTTATTTAATGTGGAGTTTAGAAAACAGAGAGGACATGGACTAAGGATCTGCAAGTACAAAAAAAAATTATACAAATTAATACAAAAAGGAGAGCTCAGATCCTCTGTGTCCATTGTGGATAAGACTAGTACTATCACGCTTAACTGCACCACAGGAGGTATAAAGAAAAATTTTTCCAATAGACAATCAATTCCAGTAATGACCTAAATAGAGACAGCAATGTAACTGATCTTATATACATGTCAGGAAGAAGTATATTTATTCTACCTTGGGACAAAAGGCTGGATTAGCCTACTTCTTGGGGTTCCAGTCCTATTTTTTAACAGTGTACAGTATTATACTGCTCTGACCTTGAGTCGTCCATTACCTTCATCTCTTCCCCTTACTGAAACTGAGGTAACTTAAGAATTATCAAGGAAATCAAATACTTTTTATAGATCATGACTCCTGACATCTTTTGCCTTATATTAAATGACAAAATTATTATTAGTAGAACCTACCCAATTAGTTATGTGCATTATGCTTGAACCATCAGGATTTCAAGCTACTGTGTGGCTTTGATAAAAATAAAATTTAAAAAATATTTTTAAATTGGCTTTTTAGAAATAATATAGCACACACTTCCTGTTAACGTATGCCAGCATATATATTAACGTAGGAACGTAGATGTAAAGTACTTGTTACTTTAGTAAGAATACCTGATTAATTCGATGGCAAATTAACTTCCCCTCTAAGCATTGTTTTACGCAAGTATCAATAGGTGTTTGCTTTTACATCTGTTCTCTCTTCTTAAGAGAGTTCGGTAAGATTTTCATATGGTCATGTTTTCAAAGCTAAATATATTTTTAGACATATATTAATGATTGCTGTATTTAAGATGTAATACAAATGAAACAGTAAAATAATTCCGCTTGGACTTTCTCATACACCATATAATACACACTGAGTCAACGAATTGTTGCGCAAACATAGTATGCAACAAATCTGTATAAAAGATCTTACTCTCAGACGTTTTTGTCTATGTATTCACAAAACAGTCTGCAGAACTCTTGAGAAAATATGTGGGTGGGTGGTTGCCTGAAAGCATTTCTGCTTTTGTCATCTGTAAGTGGATTATGTATGAGCTAAAACATTTCACTTCTTCGATATGAACACCTAACCTGTAGCAATAACTTTAAAACTAAGCTACACTGTTCTCTTCACTAATTTAGTAACTTTAAACGCTTAAAATATCATCAGAATGCACACTGTCTTCTAAGTATGAAAATTAACTGGGCATATACTTACTTGACCTTCTCTTCAATGAAAAATCATATGATAATAGACCTCTAACTACCTCAGCGGAATTACACTGAACATGATGGCATAAATTTCCCCAAGCAAAATTACCGTGTGGTAAGTTTGCAGAGTACACAAATTAGACACAACCACCAGATGAAGATCTAACTCTCACCTGAGAAAAACTGCTTCAGTCCTTGGATCCACAAGCAGTACCTGTTTTTACAGTAGCTAAGGATATGGTCCTAAGGATCATCCTTCAGGGCTATAAAACTGCCCTACATCCAGTTTAATTACTGAGACATCTTACAGCACACTGCTCAAGTTAACCTGCATTCCACAGTGTGGGACTGTGCCATAAGCACCATCACATTCATCCTGAAGATACGGAATTATGTGAGGGAAAGATCAATGAAGTAACATATCCAAGATTACCTATATACTTGCACAGTCACAAACAAACTCAAGGCCAAATTTCAGTCCTGCCATCTCACCATTGACCTATACTCTCTCTCTACAGACAGATAAGATTCTGAGGAAATTATAATTAATAATATATGATTTTTTCCTACATAAGAAAAATCAGATTTGCTAGTTAAGTTGTAGCCGTTGTTATAAGTGTCATGCGCATATCACATCGGGTTTTACATGCTGTGATACGTTTCTTATATTGTGATAAAAAGACAAAGCAAAAAGGTGCCTTCATAGGAACTAATTCCCTGTTGCAGCACTGAGAGATGCAACATAGGAGAAAATACAATAGTCTTGAAGAAGCAAGAGGAATCAAGAGTGTTGTTATGCAGAAGTAGTATCAAAACAGGTATGTATAAATAAAATCGAATTACTGTAGAGGAAATGCCCAAACGAAAGAACACAAGGTGGAAAAGAAGTTACTCTGCAATCCTGCCATACCACTTCTCAAACACAGTCATTCTTCGAGTTACCACTGCGTGTGAAAGCCTGACAGTAGCACAGGAAATCTGCCACAGAGGACAAATCCTTGTCTAAATCTTAAAATCTATCTTACCTATACAGATTCCTCATATTCCTAAACAGGTTCTAGGTAGAAATCTTCAAATAGCAGTCCAAACAAAGCAGCCTTAAATCATTGTTCATGTTTGCTGTGGCAGCAAATAGATTTGTTCAAATATTTGTTTAAAAACCAAAACATACGTGAAGGTTTCTGTCAACATGTTGATTTAGGTTAAGAGGGTGTGTATCTAATTTAGTCAAAGATATAATTTTCTGTTAAGTTTTGCAGTAACATGCCATTTATGACCATAATCTGAAAACTAGGAAAACTGTTGCCAAGTAAAGATATAGAATCGGGTTTTAACAAATGACTGCTATCTAGATCACCCAAAAAGGAACATTTACAGTCACTGTATTATTTTGGGGAGAAACAGAAGAAAAAATAGAAACATACCTCCTATACTGTTAAAATACTGGGTTTTTTTCAGATGTATTAACCATAGTTTATCTATAAATAACTGCCTCTTCCACCTCTCCACCAAATTCACTGACAGTGCAGATGATATATTGTATGTAGTACAAGGAAAAGCATACCTCAGAGATAGGTCTCCACAGCAATAACCTATGCCTCTGATTCTTGATAGCCAGCTCCCTACCTACAACAGTCCTCAGCATTTACTTCTTGTTTTGTGTAAACATCTAGAACTAATGTTTTATGTATAGTTTTCTGCTGAAAGACCATTCCCTTTAAAGAAGTATTGTGGTTTACCTAAGAAGTGGAAGGCCATGTGTGAAAACGTGATCCTTTCAAGCTTTAGTGGATCTTTTGTTACTACATTAGGCTAGTAAACATCTGCAAACTACTACTTCTGTTTTCCCGGTGACAGAAAACCTTCAACTGCATTCATTATGGGATATTTATGAAAATATGCAAGTACACCGTCTGTACCTGTTCCAAACAAATTCATAGCATTGTATATGGATGGTATTTTGAAAGAAAACTTTGCCTTTCTTAACTACAATAGAAATTTTAGCCTGTAATGTGGGGAAAATATGCTAACCTTTACAGAGTAATTTTAATTGAAAAGGGCAGCTAATATATTTTAATCGCCAGTTCTGTTTATTGAGTAGTAAGATTGTATGAGGTGATCTTTCACACAGTTACATTTCTCACCATGTTTTAAGACTCAACTGACAGTGAATTAACAGGTAACTGATATGCGCATATGCAACAAAGGTAAACAGCGTTCCTTTCAGTTAGTTTTTCATTAGTATTTAAGGTCTTAATAAAGAACATATTTTTGTTTGATGAATTAAAGAAAATGTTCTTGCTGAAAAACAAGTATGAATCAAAATGCCACTTTCTTGAAATAATTCTTTTTATATTGAAAAGTTTTTTTTTTCCCCAAATGGTTCTATTACTTATAATTTCCATTATGGGAATACCACTGAAAACAATCAAGTGTGAGAGATGCGTTATTGCTCTAGTATTGAGCAAAGTAGTAACGAAGTTGACATTTCTGACCGCATGGATCTTTACACTTCAGAAAGCTATGAACAGAGCACGGTTTTGCTGAAACATTATTTAAAATGGAAACATAAAGAAGATTACTGTTTGCTAAATACATTGATTTTGTACTAAGAAACTTTCTGCTATCTCAAAAATGTTTTCAGGCTCTTAAAGACGTTTGAATGCTAACAATACAACAATAACCAGTAATGTAGTGAAGTCCTCAGGTTAAAAAAACTGAAAAACGAGATGCAGAACTTCCAGAAATACAGAAATTGTCAAATATTGTATTAAGTTTTCATACATCCTCATGAATTCACTAGTTATCAATAAACTATAGAATAGGTTCCTACATGAACACAGCAGGAAAAATCTATAACTCGCACACTGTAGTGGCTAAGATTCCAGATTCCCTTTCTCTTCTGTGCCTGTCAACTTCCTCGTATATAGAGGTTATTTTTGGTTAATACGCATTGCAGGCTTCAGGAATACCCAGATATAAACATTGCCTTATTAACCTAGCTTCTATTAGACCAAGCCACAGTTATGAAACTGTAACCTGTTAGAATTTCATTCAGTAAGTCTGAGAATTTTTCTATCTAATTTACAGCGGTCACTGGAATAGTCTCCCCTGGGAAGCGGTCATAGCACCAAGGAGCAATTGGATGATGCTCTTAGTCATACAGTTTAGTTTTAGGCAGTCCTGCAAGGAGCAGCAAATTGGACTTGATAATCCTTACGGGTCTCTTCCAACTTGAGATATTCTGTGATTCTGTTTCTTCACCAAGTATTTACAACTTAACTACAGTGTCTTTTTCAGGTCATACACACCGTTTTATGTCCTGTGCACATTTTCAGAAGTCTATTAAGAGTTGAACAACATTTTAATGATTCACTGCATGATTTTAAGTGGCTTCATAGGAACATAGTAGCATTTTTCCCCTCATCAAATTGCTTTTTAAATAAACTGGGGTAATACATACCCTGTCAGTTTTCCCTTCAGTCTGAATACTTGTACGACTACGTGCATCATGGTCTTCTTCGAGGTCAGATACATCTTCTAGCTCCTCAGGTGTCTGGGAAAAAATGCAGAAATAGGTTATTCTTTTTTATGGTTAGTAACTTTGGTATTAATTTCAAACATGTATTACAATTTGGTCCAACATAATGTCTGACCAGTGGTGTTCTAGCAGTGGTTATTAAATGCTAACTGAAATCAAATTGTGTCAGACAGCTCTGAACTACTTCAGAATAGCCATGCTTTAATTAAACCACTGACTTTTAAAGCTGATATTCAGGGAAGTTATTTTGTATTTAAATATTGTGTTATTTCTGCTAGCAAAGGCGTCTTACAAAAAACCTTTACATGACCAGAATGGATGCCCACGTTTTTAGAACCAAAAGATTCTTTTTTTTTTTTCCCCCCACATTTTTCTACTACCTCTCTGCTGTCCAGAAATACTCATATGCCCGCTCTCCCACCTCCACGTTAGACACAGTACATCTAGTAGGCTGCTGAAAGGATCTATTATTTTGTCTGTGGGAATAAGGAGCTTCAGAAACCTGCTGATTTTTGTTGCTACAGTGACATCAGTGTTCCAAGTCAGCTACGCGCTCTTCCATTTTGAATGCGTCACTTCTCAGTTCTATCAAGCAGCACAAGTTCCTGCACTATGGAAAAAATTAAGTGGCCCCATTTGTATACATGGCATTCTTTCATACACCACTGCCTGTTCCTTCTAGTCACCTCTACTGCCGTTTAAGCAACACCAGTTTATTAAGTAAAAATACACATTTGCATTATGATAATTTGCTATCCTTTTCCACTGTTGTGATGCTTTCTTAGGGCTGTCTGTTTTTAGCCTGTAGGTGGATAGGAAGAGGTGGTTCTTACAGATATCAACTCATGATATCAAGACATATTCTCAACAAAGAAAAGTTAATCCCAACAGCATCAGGTAAATACATTTACACTTTATTCAGCATATAAGCCTTTCGTAACCCTTAAAATATTACCCTTCAAACAGTTATATATGTTGGGGAAAAAATGTAAATCCTATTTTTAGCATCCTCTCTTAATATGCTCTCCAAATTCTCTTCTCTCTTCTTCTCCACTGATATTTTTACTTTTTTTTCCCCATAAACTCCAGAACAGGACTGATTTAGCCCAGTCTACGACTTTTACTGTGTATACTGTATGTACTGTAATGTACCCACAGCTAAAAGGAACCTGCTTTGGTAACACAGGTTTAGGGTACTAATTTTTTTCCAACCATAGATGACAACTCCATCAATGAACACTGTTTAACTTATGACAAGCAATTTTCTGTATGATTCAGGTTTTCACATTTATTTCCTCCTTCCCACTTACCAACACATTATTAAAAAAAAAAAAGGCTTCACGCAGGAGTTCTGCATTTTATGATAAATAACTTAGTAAAAGAAACACAATGAACACGGCTACATAAACAACAATAAATAAAATATTAAAAGCAAGTTTACTCATATTAACAACACACTGTACAATGAAGCACATGAAACTTTCAGGATTATGAACTATTTAAAAAATACTATCAGTGCAAGAGGCAACTCAATTTTCCTTTATCAAGTAGATTCACATTTTGAAGAACCAAAAAAATATGTAAGGTCAAGACTCAATACATAACTGGTGACAGATCTACTACTGAATGGTCTACTACCACTTGACATCTCAAGTTCCAATTAAGAGGGAAATCCTGACTTTCTTAGAATCCCAAAAACCTGATGTGCCGAGAGAAACACAACAAGAGAAGGACTACCAGCTAACCCTACCAAAAACCAGGCAGAAAAAAAACCCGGTCATTACTTTTACCCGATTTTTCAATCATGTCTAATGTAATTTTTTTAATCCAGAATTACTGTATCATCTCACCTGCTTATTTTTACTGTCAAGTTCTATATAAAGAAGATCTGTTGAGAGGGACACTGTAGGGTTCTATTATTTTATTTCTGGCTCCACAGTAATGGCACTACATTAAACTGAATAAATCCACCTGCATACATTCATAGCAACTGGTAAAGCACCTCTGTGGCCAGAGGGTGGTAAGTAAACTACTAGACTTCCAAGTCAGACTTGAAACAAAGTCTAAATAGCACTGCATTACTTCAAGAGCACACAAGTAAATTTCACTCACTGAACAAAATAATAATTTCTACGAGATAACATTTTAAAAAATAAAGCTGGCGCACAAGCTGGCAGAAATGTAATGCTGGTGGTGAAAAATACACCCAGACTTCCTCAAGAAAACAGACGGTCAATCAATTTTTGCGGCAAAGCTCAGCATAATGCTACACCGGTAAAGCAACATTTTATTCTCAGGCAAAGACTAGCAAGCATGATGAAGTCTCTCAGCTTTAGTCTTGGAATTAGACGTAGTAGGAATTCCAAAAAGCCAAAAGCTGTTACCATGCAAAAGTTGTTTGAAAACGTACTGTGGAAGGAAAATCAGATTTTGTTCTGGGTGGATACCCATGGAATAAAAAAAACTATCACAAACTGACTTTAATTGAAATGCTTACAGATACTCTTACTAGAGGACCAATAACAGACTGGGCATTAAAGCGGGGTAACTTTAGCTTCTCAGGATTACACTGACCAGGGCCCTCAGGCAGGTAATACCCTTGATTCAGTGAGAGTTTATTGAAAAAAGAAACCACTTTCTTTTTAAAGCTACACATAGTTGGTTACTACACACAGAAAAATATTGCAATTCTTAAGTTTTTCTAAACAATAGTTAAATTTTTTTCCCAGAACAATCATAAAGTTGGATTCACGTTCGCAGGGCACCATTCCTTCCTTAGTGAAAACATACTTGGGAATTTTGTGACAATCCCCCACTTTCCAATATAATTTTGTTTTCTTCTATAAGGAATACAAGCTGCTGTGACAGGGCAAACGGTTAATAATCTTGAGAGCAGCCCTGCCAAGAAGGACTTGTCGGTACTGGTTGATGAAAAGCTGGACGTGAGCCAGCAATCTGTGCTCACAGCCCAGAAAGCCAACTGTATTTTGCGCTGCATCAAAAGAAGCATGGCCAGCAGGTCAAGGGAGGTGATTCTGCCCCTCTACTCTGCTCTGGTGAGACCCAATCTGGAGTACTGCCTCCACCTCTGGAGCCCCCAACATAAGAAATAAGAAGGACATAGACCTGTTGAAGGGGACTGTGTTCCAGCGTGCTTGTTCGCCTATTTGCTTTTCAATCCAAGCTTTGAAGAACAATGTGTGTGACTAGATTTTCAGCATTTTCTCCTGCACAGTTTTTTGTGCAAACTCTCCTCAAAAGTGATTATCGAAACAACTTTATCTAGATCATTAATTTTTAAAGGTCACATACACCCATGAAACCATCAATCCTGGAAATAAAGGGTCTCAGCTGTTAAAAAAATAATGCAGAGCCAAGTCTAAAATCTCAAAGCACAAGACATAAATGGACAAAGAGCCATCATGATGTGAAAGAAAGAAGCTATCTCCTCTTATCTAACATTCAATTAAATGCTGACCTTTAAACTGTCATTATATGCTTTTATGTTTTATCTTATCTTGGTTTCAACAGCTCCTATCAGTCACTCTTTTTCCCAAATGAATACTAAAACGCAGTGCAAACTAACACCTTAACAGAAGCTAAGTTGATGAGTGATGTCTTTATTATACCACTGAGTTATTTGTGGTATGTTAATACCACAGCAGCAACAGCAACGCTTGTATGCACTCTAGGAGGATCAAAATTTGGCTATTATGCTCTTCACTGACAACAGAATGAGTTTAAAGACATTATCTATTCTACTCTGGACATTTGACTAATCCCCGTATTTCGAAAATTTCATCATGTCAAGCAGCATGTCATTCAGTGTAACAAACAATGGTACATGTGTCACAAATGGGCCCTCTGCAAATATTTAGCTACTGTCCAATAATTTTGCGTATTAGTCACAATACCACTGTTATCCCACATTTAATTCCACAGGATGACAGGCTGCCAGAGAAACAGTTTTGATGCACTAGAGGGAGAACAAGAAATTGCAAGCATTATTTATTTTTCCTGACTAATTTAGTAAGACACTTATATAATTGTTGCTATCTATTCACTAAAAGCACTTTTCAGGTTTTTGCTAAAAGCAATTATTTTGAGTGTTATTTTGAAAACAATAAAAACCTACATTATAAAGAGCAAATTAAAATCTTATGTTCTTAATCTGTCAACATTGTGACATCTCAATGCTATGGCAAATACCACCCCCCCGTTTCTCATTAAAAACAATCATACATCATTTACTCTTGAAATCTATTCTTGGCCCTTACCTTAAAGTTACACCTTTTGCACACCACATTATAAAGCTAACAAATGATTAATTAAACCAGAAAGCAGAACCCTGTCTTTGCTAGAAGTATTGTCACCAACTGCTGGCATGGAATTTGTCATCAAGTATTAGTGAAATCATTATCCTGCATAGCCTGTACACATTATAGATAGATCATTTTCAAATGTAGGTGATAAACAGTTCTTGTTACTAACAGAAAAAATTGTGTAAAAGATCTTTTATATACGTAAGCTGCAATTTCAGGTAAAATTAGCATTGAGAACATAAACTTTGGTAAAGACCAAACTGTTTAATTAATGATGAGAACAAATTATGACCTTCAACACTGAAAGATGAAATTATTTCCAATTTAAAAAGTTATATGGTAAGGAGTTGAGGTCTTAAAAATAATAAATGCTGTGAACTCACAGTATGGAGCAAAAGTTACCTTATTAGTACTGGATGCTAGGAGGTTTTGTTTGCTCATTTAACAATTTACCAATTTATAACATTCTGCTCCAGGAGATTAAGACAGAAAAGTTAAGATTAATCACTCCAACATTTGAAAATGAAAAGCAAACAGAATTTGTTTTCTCTGTAACGTATGTACTTTAATACTAAAGTAGTCTAAAATGTCATTACTGTAGGACTAACTCCAAAGGCAACCAAACAGATGCTTTGCATTTTGACTCTTCAAAAAATCATCACGGTTCCCAGCTTCAAAAAAGGCCAGAAGAAC